CCTCCTGGTGGGCTGAGCTGGCCACACACACACACACACACACACATAAATAAATAAATAAATAAATAAATAATAAAAAGAAAGTCACTGCTCTTGTTCTTAGCAGTAGCCCAAGTGGGGAGATGAGGGTAAGTGATCACGTGTAAAAAGATGTAATTCAGGCTGAGCTGAGCGCAGTCCTGTAAGGATCTGTGCCGCCTTGGGTTGAACGCTGATGGATGAATAAGAGTCCCCTGGGAAAAATAGACCCGTGTGCAAAGACCCTGTGGCCTGGCAAGTGTGGCTGATGGAGGAATTAAAGGAAACCACTGTGGCCCAGAAGGTAGAACAAAGCCAAGAAGATAGGGAAGGGCCAGACCGACAGGGCCTGTGGCTCGTGAGGATTTGGGGGTTCTAAACATTGTGAATTTTTTTCTTCTATAGCTAATATTTTTATATGTATATGCTTTAATGATTTTCTTTACAATAAGTTTTGGACAATTTCATTTTTGTGTATCTTGGTATGATTTTATTTAATTATTTTGAGCAAAAGGTTCTTTTTTCTCGGAAATGTGGTGTTATGAGTTGAACTAGGGGCCGGGGAGATGGCTCAGTAGAATAAGTGCTTCCCTGGCAAGCGTAAGGGCCTGAGTTCAAGTTCCGGTTCCAGAAAAAAAAAAAATCTGAGTATAAGTTGAACAAAATTCAGAAATTTTAAATCTTTAAATATTTATTGCCTACTCCTTTCTACTTTGAGAATTTTAATTGTATGAATGTAAGTTTCTTGGTTTTAACACAGTGATTATGACTGATCTGTATATTCTTCATTTTTATTTTGGACAATTTTTATTGTTATATTCATTTATGTTTCTAAATAATTTATTTTCAATTTGCAATCTATTAAAAGAATTTTAAAAAAAAATTGTGAAGTACCATGCTGGGTTTCAAGTCAAAGGAAGGTGTGCATAACTGATTTCAAAAGGCCGCTGTGTACAGAAGGGTGCTGTCCACAGAACGTTATTGATGGGAGCGGGCTGCAGGCAGTAGCGAGAGTGGCTTACGAGCATTCTCAGTGTGACTAGGTTGACTGCAACGCTAAGGGTTGTTTTTGTTTTGTTTTGTTTTTTTGCTGTGTAGTTCAGGCTGGCCTTGAGCTCAGTTTGTAGCCAAGGCTGGCCTCGAATTCACAGTGATCTTCCTGCCTCAGCCTCCTGAATGCTGGGATTATAGGCCTGTGCCACCACTTTCAGATCAGTTTTAAAATTAACTTAAGAGCCGGCGAGATAGCTCAGCAGTCTAAAGCACCAGCTTAGGCAAGCGCAGGGACTGCTCCTTGATCCCAGGCACCGCCAGCCACGCCCGCAGGGCAGGCTGAGCCAGCAATCAATCAGTAAAAAAAAAAAAAATGTAACTAGCCAGACATGACTCGAGGCTTCTGGGTCACACAGTTCAGGTCTGGCACACGTTGGAAGGAGTAGCCACCCACCTCCCACTCCTTGCCCCTTTGTAGGCCCAGACAGAGATGGCTTCTAGTTTCAAGAGAATCCTAGTGACAATTTCTCCATGTTAACTGTTTATGGAATTTGTAGTGTTTTCTTGACTGACGTGTAGCCTGCTTCATGAAGCAGCATCTCTTCTGGCTGTCCATCTCGTCAGCACACAGATGAGACGTCATATCCTCAGCAAATATACCTACCTACAGTGACCACATTCTGTGTCAGACACTTTAGAAGGGATGTAAAAGAAGTGTGGTCCTCACTCAGATGGAGCTCGCTGTGGTCGGTGTAGCAGGGCCCTAGGTGCGATCTCCAGCACCAAAAAGGTGAAGTATGTGCAGGCGCAGTGGTGCTGGCCTCCAATTCCAGCTGCTCAGGAGGCTGAGGCAGGAAAATCACAGGTTTGAGGCCAGCCTAAGTAACTTTGGAAGGTTTAATTTATGATTTTCTGTTTTGGCTACCTGGCCTTGAACTCATACCTTCCACTTGCCAGGCAGGTGCTGGGCCGCTGAGCTACATCCCCAGCCCCACCCTGGGCAACTTAGCAATGCCATGTCTCAAATTAAATTTAAAAAAAAAAAAAAATACACTTCTAATGTTCTTAATCATTTTCTTTTTTTTTTTAAACTTTTTAAAATTTTTTTTATTTATGTGTGTGTGTGTGTGTGTGTGTGGCCAGCTCAGCCCACCAGGGGGCGGGGCTGGCTGGCACGTGGTGCTGGGGGATTGAACCGTGGTCCCTCAACTTTGCTTAGCTTAGCTTGTTCTAAGTAGGTGCTGTAGACCACTGAGCCATCTCACCAGCCCTCAAATTAAATTTTAAAAAATACTGGGAATGTTGCTTGGTGGCAGAGCACACACAGAGAACTGGGTTTGGTCCCCAGCATTACAAAACGGCAGGGGTGCCTGATGGTGGGAACTAGAATCCATCAAGGGAAACATCAGCAAACGCTGTGAAAAGACACGAAGGAGCGTTTTCAGCCGGATCCATCGCAGAACTGCCTTCCTTACTGCCTTCAGCAGTCTGATTGAAAGGTGGATTTCCAGTCTGGGAGAGTGTTCCACGGTGCCAACGGTTTTAAGTGCTCAGACTTGGTAAAATAGGGTAAAAACTGATGAAATGTACTTTCTTTGCAGGTCAGTTCCCGGAAAGATTTGTATGTGTGCTACATGAAAATCTGGTTCCATCTCGGCAGGTTCAGTGTCATTGTTCTGGCTTAGGGCCTTCCAGGTTGGTTGGGGTTTTTTTTCCTTGAGACAGGATCTCTCTGTGTAGTCCAGGCCCACCTTGAACTCATCATGTGGCCAGGGTGGTCTTTGACCGCTGGGGATGCTCTGTCTCAGCCTCCCAGTGCTGAGATTACAGCTGCACCACCATGCCCGGCTTGGTTTAATTCTTCACCACATGATTTTGAGAGGTGGCCTTGTGAAGACTGTGTTACATGGATATAAATAAATGGAGTCTACCCCCAGGGTTTGTGTGCTCTGATTCCTAAGCTCTGTGACTTAGCCACTTGCATACCTCCCAAGTATGGGTCCTGGGGACATCTTTGTCCTGAAGAGCTTTTAGGAGGTGGCAGTGCACAAGGGCAGATGGCCAAAGCCTCTGGGACCACAGAAAAGGTGTAGCCCTCATGAATGCAGGGGTTGTAGGGTACCCTGTGAGTAGCAACTGCCAGGGGGTGACTGCTCCTCGAGCCTGGTCCCGCTGTGCTGCAGCATGGTTACTGGTAGCCGCCCCTG